TTTAGAGCTTGGGGTTTAGGGCTCTAGGGTTTTAGGGCTTGGGGTTTACGGCTCTAGGGTTTTAGGGCTTGGGGTTTAGGGTTTTAGGGCTTGGGGTTTACGGCTCTAGGGTTTTTGGGCTTGGGGTTCAGGGTTCTAGGATTTTAGGGCTGGGGGTTTAAGGGTTTAGGGCTCTAGGGTTTTAGGGCTTGGGGTTTAGGGTTCAAGGGTTTAGGGTTTTAGGGCCTGGGGTTTAGGGTTCTAGGGTTTGGGGTTCAGGGTTTTAGGGTTTAGGGTTTAGGCTTCAGGGCTTAGGGTTTAGTACGGAAACTTGCGGTGCCATCGTCGCCCTTCGACAGGCGCCCTAAACCCTAAACCCTAAACCCTACACCCCAAACCCTAAACACTACACCCTAAACCCTAAACCCGAAACCCTGAACCCTACACCCTACACCCGAAACCCTACACCCGAAACCCTACACCCTAAACCCTACACCCTAAACCCTACACCCGAAACCCTACACCCTACACCCTGCACCCTAAACCCTACACCCTGCACCCTAAACCCTACACCCTGCACCCTAAACCCTGCACCCTGCACCCTAAACCCTACACTCTACACCCTAAACCCTAAACCCTAAACCCCAAAATACCTTAAACCCTAAACCCTAAACACCAGGTCAACCCTCGGTAGTTCGAGTTCGAGTATTTAGAGTCAAGGATCTGGTCTAGGATATACTACGATCATCGCATCATCACTGATCACGGTGTCAGTTCACGAGAAATTAGGTTTGGGCTCCAGCGCGCTCGCATATGTTGTGTGTGTGACCTGCCCATCACGACGATGATGGTTCCTTAGTGGCCTCTATAATTGCCAATACCTTTTCGGGGCTCTTAATCGAATGTAAATACCCTGCTCTAATTATTAGAGGCCCCCTTATATTATGCAACCGTAAACCCTAAACACCCTAAAAACACCCTAAACCCTAAACTGATGGTGGTGGTGGTGGTGGTGGTGGTGGTGGTGGTTCCTGTCAACGGCCTCGATGGCTGACGACGACCGGGATGTTATGATGGCCATGATGGCGACGAACATGACCCGAGATTCCTTGATGACCGTTGGGTTTAGGGTTTAGGGGTGATGATGATGGTGACGATGACGAGGACAATCTCAGATCATTGCGGCCTAAGCTTGTAAACCCTACATCGGGTTTCCGACCAAACCCTAAACCCTAAAACCCTAAACCCTAAACCGTCACCCTGAAGCATGACCTGCAACAAGGACACTCTTCCAGCAGCTTGGGCAGCACCATATCACGTTTTGCCAGCTTGCCGGCAACCGGAGCTTTGTCATACACGTCAGGACAACAACCATAAACCCTTAAACTAGATCCCTTAAACCCTGAACCCTTAAACCTAAATACCCAAACCCTAACAAGATTGGTTCAGTTCGAGGGAGGCAGTCACACGGACAATGCTACACCCCTTTGCCTTCCTCCCTGCCCAAGGTTGTAGGATTTAGGGTCTAGGGTGCTGCTGCTGGGTTTAGGGTTTATATAGGGTTTAGGGTTTAGGGTTTAGGGTTTAGGGTTTAGGGTTTAGGGTTTAGGGCTGCTGCTGCTGCTGCTATCTCGATTCATGCTACAGTTGCTGCATGATTTCTGCTTCTTGCTGCCTTCACCACCTTCACCACCAGCAACCACCGAATGCTTAACCGAGAAGCGGAGTAAATTGCAATGATTATAATACCCCCCCCCCCCCCCCCCC